TATTTATTTGCAGTCAGTTCTTTTCCCATTTGATTGGAACACTATTTCAATTATGGTGTGTTGCGACTGTGTGGCGATGCTATGGCTTCTTCGGAGATAAAAAGGTTACTTTTAAAAGGGAGCAATTTTTATTTCAATTATTTTGTAGTGTTGCAGAAAGACGGTATTTTCAAAAAAATTAGTTTCATCGTCACTCAAATCACCATCATGTTTTTTATTTCAAGAGCACTAATAATTGAGTTTTTCTTATATGATGTTTTGACTTGGAAAAAAATTTCTTTCTTAGATTAATGATAGGTTGGAACTCATATTCTTTGAATTATTCCATGGTGATTGAAACTAACGCTTGCCATATTCACATTAGTCACTTCTGATAGTATAATTAAGTTAAAGTCCAATAATCGAATTCACTTTTGGTTTCAGTAAGAAGTGCAAAAGTGAACATGTTTTAGGTTGTGCGACAAATTGGGGAGCAACTTTCCACAACGCAAGTGGCATTTCGTTACGATAATATTCCGCATGAGTACATTGCTATGTCACAACCTCCACCGTACGCCGATACCGTGATTAGTCTAGATAAACAACTCTTACAAAACAACAGCTGAATTTTTGACAGCTCAGATCACAAGCGAAAATCTCATGCATGTGTGACATGAGATTTATTGAGATTTTATCATTTCATTCTGATAATTTTTCTCCATTATCATATAGCAGTTATCTGCTGCTTCTCAATAACTGCTAATTTTCACGAGTTTCTTTAACAAATCATGACTTATTAAATGAGCACATGTACTTCTGTTAAATCAAGTACAAGAATGTATAAGCTTTATCTCTGATCTGGATTATTATCAATGTTTTGACTTAATCCTTAATTTTTCTGATTTGGTCTAAAAATTCTGATTTATTTCCATCTGTCTCTTATGTTATTATTAATGTAGTTTCCGGTTTATTAAACACAAAGGATCTTTTGGTATTGGGTCTTATGGCTCGCAAAATTTAAGCAGGATTGAGGACTAACATTGAATTTGAACATATGATATATAGTACAGCTGTCAGCAGTTGAATTGATTATATGCATTTCCCCATATACTGTTCGCTTTTTCAGTGGTGGAACAGTTCAAGTTAGAGCAGAAACAGGAGCTAAAAACTCTTTGATTTTATCGTAAATGTACTCTACTTTTTTCTGGATAGTAAAAAAAGTGGATTTTCACTTTTTATTCATTCAGATAGCTTTGAGACGAACACTAAGTTAGTTTACAAAATTTAATTCTTAAAATTTAAAGAAGGGATTTTGAAATTTCAGTGAATAAAATCTGATGAATCGAATGTACTCGCTTCATATCCGATGAATCGAATGTGCCCGCTTGTTCATCTAGAATTTTAGCTGTGTTTCATTTTCAAAGGTCGTGCTAAACTTTAGTCTGTTTTCTATTTTTGGTTGTCATGAATATTTTATATGTTGAATAAAAATTAATTACTAGCAGTTTTTCATGTAGATTGGAAATGGAGGTGATTTCTAAAATTAATACTAATGTATTTTATATATTGCCAGAAGGATAGTTCGCTAAATTATACTTTATTTCGTTCCTCACTTCATGCTGAAGAGATCTCCGCATTTTCAAAATTCCGAAATTTGCTTTTGTTAGCGTCATGAATGATGATGTCTTTTATACCGTGTAAGGAATCTCTAATTGCTTGTTTATTGTTGCATCTTCTCTGCTTTTTGATTTACAAACTTTTTAATTTTTTTGCACCGTTGACTTTGCATTCATCTAGTAGAATTTATTCGCTTAGTACGAGATATTTTCGAAAATATAATCCCTACTCCCTCTCGTACCTTCTTGATATCGTTGATGGATCATCTCAACTCTAGTTATTTCGACAATTCCCATACTTTTGAAACTTCTGGTTGAAGCATTTGATCGAGTGTCCTTAATAACATCCCACATTTGTATTTATTTTTTTCATGCATTTGTGAATGCCTTTAATTGACTTGTGGCTCCATCACTTTAACTCCTTTCTTTTATTCGAAAATTATTTGCTTAACTATTTTCATTTTCTAGAACAATTGTCCAATAAGAATAAGGCTTTTGATGAGAAATATTAATTTCATCAAAAATTAGATCCGAGATCTCAATACAAACATTTCCATAAACTACCCATAGTGAGGTAAGTTTCAAGCCTGTTTGGGATCATTTCATATGACCGGTATTTGGTAAGGATAATTATACATCAGTTCCGGAACCAGCGTCCCGGCCTCTGCCTCTTCAAGTTTCTGACATGGTCAGAAACTGGAGAACTCATGTTGAGATTAGGATTTTCACGGTGTCTCTTTCGAATATTACATTGTTCGAGGAAGTACAGGAGTAATTGTGTGGTGTTTCGTGATTCATTGGAGTTGAACAATCCTTTTGTGATTTTAAGGTAGAACAATTAGTACTATACTTATTATGAGCATTAAATAATCCATATTTCGCACAAATTACTACATTTGTAAAGTGTTGCATCATTGTATTTTGTGACATTTTATTGAGTATTATTATCATTAGGAACGCATATTTCGCCGATATAACACATGATTGTCACTTTTCCAGGAGCTTTAATGAGTGCAACTTGGAATTAGTTGAAATGATAGTGTCAAAAATTGTAGCCGTATGTATTATCGCTTTTACTAGAGCTATCGAATTAACGTTTGAATTATCCGACAATGCAAATCAGTGCTTTTTTGAGGATATCAAGGCTGGCGTTGACTGTGTTATTGAATATCAGGTATTTTTATAAGGTCATTTTAATGTTGCTTACGTTGTCCTGCCATATATGAGAAGATAGCTTGATCCTGTTATTATTTAAAAAGGACCGTATTCCTTTTCTTATCTATTGGTGAAATCCTTCCTGTGATTAAAATATTCTCTTATATTGTATTGATCTACTACTGACCTTTCAACATTTGTATTCTGCGTTTTTGAAATTCTAATTCGCTTTGGAACTACTGTTCGCTTTAACGTTCTCAACCAAATTTCTGGGACTGCTCATGGAAGTGATCTTTTGCACTTCACAATCAGTGTGTTGCATATTTTCGTGCTTTGCTGATTTTAGGTGGTAACAGGTGGTCAGTATGATGTAGATATGACGCTTCAAGATAAGGAAGGTAAAATCTTGTATCAAGGTACCAAAAAACAGTATGATAGTTTTTCGTGGAAAACAGAAACAGAAGGAACATACAAGGTTTTATTTTCATTTTGTAGTAAAGCTTCAGAATCCACTGAACTCTTTAGAAATATCAAATCGTAAGGGAAATGCATTTCTGTTTGAAATTACTTTAGGTTGAAAATCGTTTGGATCTCAAGAGAATGAAAAAGTATGGAAAACTTTCAATAATTTCTTTTCAGTTCATACTTTTTTTAGGCATGCTTCTCAAATGAATTTTCAACTTTTTCACATAAGGTAGTTTACATGGATTGGCAAAAAGGAGACGAGGGTCAACTCTTACCAAGTATAATTTCTATTCACTCAGCTTAGAAGCTTGAACAGCACTTTTTTTGCAAATGATAATTTTCATATCATCTTGATTTGAAGAAATCAGAAAAATAAAAATGTGGGATTCGATTTTTAGTTCACCAGAATTTTTTATGTAATAGAACAGACCCTTGCATTTTTTTAAGGCTTTCTTCAGATAATACTTTACATTCAGGTGTCGGTAAAGCGACTTCACGAATAGCAGCCATGACACAACTTGAAACGTCTGCATCAGCTATCGGTGACCGACTGAGGCTAATTGATGATTATCAAACACATCACAGATTGAGAGAAGCTACTGGGCGTAAGCGCGCGGAAGATCTTAATGAGCGCGTTTTACTGTGGTCTTTGGGACAAACGGCTGTTATAATCACTTTGGGAATAGCACAGGTAACACATTAATAACTAGGTTTTTTTTTTCGGTCAAAGTTTCCATACAAAGATAAATCCTGCACTTCTTAATTGAGCTTTTTTCATTAAGTGAGAGAACTTTGTTGATAATTTGGATTATTTTGAAACAGAATTATAAAATATTAATATTTACAGAAAAGTTCTTAATAAGAGTCTTTTATCTTTCAAGTCCAAAATAACAATATGTTCAATTACAAAAGGTTTTCAAGGAAAAACAAATTTGAAAAGCTGGAGAAACTGGAAATGGCGGGTGCAATACTTCGTTTGTAGCGAAATATGGGCTCGAGATTGTAATTTAGAATTAGTTTGACATTTGTAAAATGATAGGAATTGAAAGAATAAATTCTTTGCGTTAAAAACAATGAAAAAAAATATAGTAAAATTATGTTCATTTGCAGGTACTCCTCCTTCGCTCATTTTTCACCGAGAAACGAACCGTCTTCTGATATATTTTTTTATAGCAATAGTTCTTGTTTTCTTATAGTTCTTGTTTACTATTCATGCCTTCTTCATAGTTGGCTTGATTTGAACAATCGCATGATTGATCAACAAATCGTTTTTCCGGAGGTATTTTTGGAACAAGTTCCATTTCATTCTCAGGTTGTATCGGGATTTTCTTTAATTTACTAGTATATTTCTGAAATAATTATGCTAATAAAATTACTGGAGGAAAATGTTTACTTTAAATATTACCGGTAAGAAATTGTTTTGGAGATCACTGACTTTTATTTGGAAATAACAGACTTATTGTAAATTTAAAATAAAATGGATTCTTTAATGCCGAGACGATTTTTTAAACAATTTACTGAAAAAATTGAATCTCATTGTTTATAGTTCTATAGTTTTCTTTTCACTTATATTTTCTTCAATATTTTTGTTCCTACTACTTCGCGTGGCAGAAATTTTTTTGGACGCGGAGGATTTTTTAAAGTCTTCTCGAAATTCTTCCCAAGTTTTTATATTTTTACAAACTTTTTGCTTTATTATGATTCGTATACCACTTTTTATTAATATATTTGTCAAAAGTCTCTCTTCATTGCTCAGAATTCTTCGTTACTCTGTAGTAACCTTTAGTTGATAAGGAAGTGCAAAATTTTCAGATTCTTTGGCGATTCAAAAATTAGAAATTAAAATATAACTGGTAGTGAATTTGTTTACTCACAAATTTCAGCAAATTTAGTACTACAGTTAAACTCGTGGTGCTGCAAATTCTTTGAGAGAAATAACTTAGCTTCGAGAATTTAATTTAGAATTTATAAGGAAGTAACCTGCACAAAATCGGCATAATAGCAGTAAATATCGAGAGGTTGAAGGTGCTGCAGCACAAATTCATGCATTGCATTTAATGTCTGAAACAGGCAGAAGCGCATTTGTAAAAAGTAAGAAATGATGCGCTTCTTATAGAATGAAAAGCTTGATATGGCAGATTTAAATTCAATGCAGTACAGCACAGATATTCCACGTTCTCAATTGAATCTTTTAGAAAGTAAAAAGCTAAGCCTTTTTCCTGATAAGTAAAAAGTACGCTCATTTTAGATAAAGAATGGTTGGTTGCATTGTAAGTAAAGTAACCTTATTGTGATCCTGTGTCCTTGCCCATTTGATTTGTTCAATGAGAGTGGAATCATTAAAATGGAAATAATGCAATCCTTCCTCGAGGTCGATGTAAAAGTGCTCGTAATAATCAGAGAACGACTTGAAAACAACGCTATCTCCAGCCAGCAGAAAAGGAAAGCGATATGCCGCAACTGTCCCATCGATGTTTAGTATAAATTTGTACTGAAATTTCACGTCATTTAAGTGACATCATGCGTAAATAACATGAATAAAACAGAGAACATAACTTTGAAGAAATCCGGCAGTGGTATTGTTTCAACCGTTGGCGTATGCTCAGCTTCGTC